TTCTACTATAAGGAAAAGCTATCCCTCATTTCTTCTCTATCCCTTTATATTAAATATAGACTCATGGCTTGTTATTTTATTCAATAAGCTCAAATCCTTTTATCATGATTTATTTCAATGCTCAAATTATCTCAGATTTGGCTAGTGGGAGTTTCTTCACACTGGCTTTTGTGTCCTGCCATGTCCCTATCAAATTCTTTGAGGACTTTCGTACTTTTAGCATAACAATATATTCAAGGCTCATCTTGTTCTTTCTCTGTCCCAATTCCAGAATCAGTCATTTTTCTGAGGGGCACTGGGTCTTTGTGGTGGAGATTGATCTTTCAGATCAGGATCTGGGCACAAGATGTGCTCCTTGCTTCCAGAGTGTCATTGCTTCTAGGCCTTGTCAGATAGCAGAGTTGTGGAATTTTAAAAAAAAGTTACTTATTTATAGTAAGTGTATATGTACGCATACACACCTCCATGCATTTTTTATGTTTAGCTATCAATATATATTAAAACTCATGAGTGCACCCTCCTGTCTCCTTAAATTTCAATCCAACACCTCCAATTCCAATACAACATTATGTCTTTTCCTCTTCCCATATTTCATATGAAACCTGGCTCCCATTTTCTACAAAATTATTCCTCTTATTTGCTCAATCCTAGGATGTACAAAGAGTTTCAGAATTGAAACTCTTAATTAATCTGTGCCTCTGCAAAACAAGATTTTAATATTTGTTTAGATTTGTTGTTGTTTTTAACCTGAGGTCATATAGTCCAAATACCATACTCAAAAGTTTCTTGGGTTAGTTCTTTATTTTCCTTCCCCCTCCTGTGGATTATTTTATTCACTTATGATAAAAGTATTGTTTATTTGTTTCTGTTTGTATTCAGTTAGGGGAGTATTCCCATCTCTGTGGATTGTATATATTTTCTCTTTTTGAGTATGCAAAATATTGACATGTTTCCAAAATCAAGTCTGTACCAAAAGGTACAATCGGAGGAATGCAATTTCTTTCCCACATTCTCTGTTTTTTCCACCTTGTTCTTTCCTTAGTTCTGTAGCTAAACTATCCCCATGGTCTTGGGTTTTCCTTCCTGTTTTCCCTTGGCCCAAATGAGTACATAGGTATGTATTTTTCTTATTTCCCCTTCTTTCTTACTCAAAAGGTATAATACTAATGATAATCTTTTCTACTTTGCTAGTCATAGAATTGTAAAGTGGAATCAGGCTTAATTGCTGTATATCTCAGCTTATTCTTCTTTTTTTTTCCTTTCAGACATTGGATCAGCAACAGTTCTTCACAGAGGAAGAACTGAAAGAGTATGAAAATCTGATCTCTCTACAAGAAAATGAACTTAAGAAAAAGGCAGAGGAGCTTCAGAAACAAAAAGAAGAATTACAACGTCAGCATGACCAACTTGAGGCTCAAAAGCTGGAATATCATCAGGTGGTATTTTGTAATATGATTGTGGCATTAAAAAGGATTTTAGGTGCTTTGCTAAAGCCTGTTTTCGTAATGTAATAATTCAATGTACTGTTATCTCTAGCATTTTACATTTAAGTGTTTTAAAAACTGCTGTGTTGAATATTAATCTAAATTTCAGAGCTTGAATATTTCATTTTGGAAAACAATTTTCAGTTTATTGCATATCAGAGAAAATCAAATAATACTTACTTTTAAGAGGATCTTTTCCCATTCACTAGGTCATACAGCAAATGGAACAAAAAAAATTACAACAAGGAATTCCTCCACCAGGACCTGATGAAGAATCGAAGTTTGAGCCATGTATGTACATTTGTTTGTTTGTTTAAGGAAATAAGAAATTGAAACCTACATTTATTCAAATATAATTTCAAATCATTAACATCTATGCTATTTTCTATATATTTGTGAAAACAGAGCAACTTATATTACAGAAAAATGAAAAGGCCTATAAAATTTTTATGCATCTGCATATTTCAAAAGCTATATAATTTCATAGCCATATTTATGGTGAAATGATCTGTCAACATTATTCATAATTCTTTCTAATCAATTATTGATATTGTCAGAGAACCTGGTTTTTTAAGTGTAATTTATGATTTGTTAAGCATATTTAAAAAACAAATAAGCAATGTATCTATATATAAAAGAATATTCAAAATAATGGAAGATACTTTTAAAATCAGGGCATATTTGTTTTTTGAACAGACATATAAAGTCCGAAGTCCACCAGAACTTGGAAGAAAACTGTTAAATCAACATCTATGTCATCTTTTTACCTCCCTTCATTTTTTTTCTCTGCTCAATAAATATTTTAAAGCATATATAGAATAAAGGAAGATAATTTTAAAAAGGGAACACATTTTTTTGGATACACATATTTAAGAATTGACATCTTCCAGAACCAGAAAGGAACAAACTCAGTATCTACTCTTACTTTCTCACCTCAGTTTTCCTTTGTTCTCCTTTAGTGATTTCATTAAATGGCCTCATGCTGTAATTTAATGAAACTATCGGTAACTATTTAAGTGAGAAAGCTCTGTCTATGCTTTTAAAATAAATTGCTCTCACTCGTAAAGATAGTTACTCTTTCATGGGTGCTTATCATCCGCTCTCTCAGTAAGAGTCTCTTTGATATTAACTCTTTTCCTGAGAAGACCACAGCATTCCCCAGTGTTTCATGGTAGCTTTATCCTCCTTTCAGCAACCTTACTGCTAGAAATTCTTCTACTGAATAGCTTTTGCTACTACTTTAGGTAATTTTTCATTCATATTTTTGCTTTAAACTCTATCATTTAGGATCAAATTCTGCTCTACGTAACAGGAAAACCAAAGATAGAATTGGTTTAAGCGAAACCACTTACATAAAAAAAATCTGGATGGAGATGATATCCAGGTTCCTATCTTTCTGTTCTGCCATCCTCAGTGTATGGGTTTTATCCTCAAGTCACCTCATTCTCACTGTCTAAGATTGCTTTTGGAGGTAGCAGGAGAAGGGCAAGAAAAGGCACTTTCCCCAGTTGATTCAGCTTCCTTTTGACAGTTTTTCTGGAAAATAATAGCACTTAAACTTACATCTCATTGGCCAGAACTCAGTCACATGGCCATTTAGCTGCTAGGGAAGCTGAGATATCCATGTGGCAATGTGACCAGCCAAAAGTCAGGATTCTTTAACTAAGGAAGAAGGGAAGAGGGAAAGTTTGGCAATTTTCAGTATTAACCCAAACAGCTTTGTGGGCTACCTACATATCTGTGTACACTCTTCTGAAACATAGAAAGTACTTACTTCCCCCACCCGAAAAGGAAACCACTAAAATCCAATCCATTCTTGCATATATCTCAAAGACCATGATATTTGAGTGTAGTCCCCTCCTTCAGATTAGGATGTGGCTCCTTATGTTCTGGCTGTCTACCAACTAAAAAGCAAGGTGTCTGTCTGCCCCATGAACACTATATGCATAACGGTGGGATCAGCATAGGAAAACTGCAATAAAATCAACCCTTCGAATGGGAAAATGAGAAATATAGTAATCATTGATCCTTAACTTAAAGTATTTAAAAAATACTGCTTGGCAAAAATAGCAAGGCCTCTCTGCTCTGTCCATAAATACATTCCTTCATTTTCCTACCAGGCAACCCCAGATTTGCCTTTTTGGGAGGAACTCCGTTGTCTGATGTTCTCGGGGCTCTTGACATTGCCCTCTAGGAAGATTTTATCATCCATTGATTTTCAAGGACACATCTGAGTGGGCATTGAGAAGTGTGCCCTTCTTAGAGGCTGGGCAACCTTAGTAAATCACTTCCTGCAACTGTGGGCTGGGGGCTTGGGGATTGTTTCAGAGAGTTACAGGTTGTTGCAGGCCAGCTTTAGGGTTTTCGTTTGTTTTGTGTTGTTTTTTGGCAGGACAGTCCCTAAAAACTTAGTAAGAGACTGCTATGTTTTCTTCCATTTCTACCATGAGTGACCACAAAGATCTTGTCCAGACACAGTTTTTAATAAAGAACCTCATCTTGTACTTGCTGGCCTCCATGTTCTCTCTCTCTCCCCTTGGATTTTAAATGAATGCTATATACTTGGCACCATTTACTACAGGCTTGGATGGGATGACAACAGTCTTTCTTTTTTTTCATTAAGGTATCATTGATATACAATCTCATGAAGATTTCACATGAGCAACATTGTAGTTACTACATTCACCCATATTACCAAGGCACCCCCATACCCCATTGCAGCCACTGTTCATCAGTGTAGTTAAGATGCTATGTAGTCACTACTTGTCTTCTCTGTGCTACAGTGCCTTTCCTGTGCCCCTCCTACATTGTGTGTGCTAATCACAATGCCCCTTAATCCCCTACTCCCTCCCTCCCACCCACCCTCCTCACCCCCTTTCTCTTTGGTAACCGCTAGTCCCTTGGAGATTGGGAGTCTGCTGCTGTTTTGTGTCTTCTGTTTTGCTTCATTGTTATACTCCACAAATAAGTGAAATCATTTGGTTCTTGTCTTTCTCTGCCTGGCTTATTTCAATGAGCATAATACCCTCTAGCGCCATGTTGTTGCAAATGGTAGGATTTGGTTTCTTCTTATAGCTGAATAATATTCCATTGTGTATATGTACCACCTCTTCTTTATCCATCCATCTACTAATGGACACTTAGGTTGCTTCCATATCTTAGCTATTGTAGATAGTGCTGTGATAAACATAGGGGTGCATATGTCTTTTTGAATCTGTGATCTTGTTTTCTTTGGATAAATTCCTAGGATGACAACAGTCTTAATCTAAACTTTTTCCTTAGATGGCTGCCGTTGCTTGGCAGAAAATTCATAAGGGAAGGTTCTTGAAAAACCTTTAGAAGCTTCCTCAGAACCTTTACTTTTGACTGTTTCAGTTTGGAGAGTGGTAGTAGTTGACTCTCAATTCTTCAGGGCTCCAGATTTGGGACTTTGTAGACAGAGCAATTCCCTCAGCAAAGCTATTCCCTTCCATCTGTGCAGACTTGCTAACCTTAGCCTGAGTCATATCTCTCTTGTAGGACTTTGCTGAAAGAGGCAAGAAGCGGCCCACACATGCTAGCATTCTGAAGTTCTACCATCACTTTCTCTGACACCTTAACCTCAGTGGGCATGAGGTCTCACTGCCCAAAGCCCTCCCTCCTCAACTAAGCCAACTCCATATTTAAGATCCTTTTACATGCTAAACCTTTTTCTAGCTACCAAATTCTGTATAGATCAAGATTCTTGGTTGTAGGGAATGGAACCTTCTTTAGGTATTAAACAGGATGGAATTGATTAAGGGGTATAGATAGCTCACAGGATCTTTGGGAGGGCTGAAGAAGCGGAACCAAGGCTGAGCTTCATAGGAACTACATCACAAGAATGGGCTGCTGAAGAAGCTGCTGCTTTTGCAACAATCAAGAAGCTGCTTGCCAGATCAAGAAGTCGCCTACTGGCTTAGGAAGCTGTGAATGCCAGCTCCAGAACCACAACACCTCTGCCGTGCTTTCTGCTGGCAAAAATGGATACCTCATGCCCTGCCTCTCTTCCCATGTAACTTGGTTCTGAGTAAAAGACTCAAGTGAGTGCATCTGATTGATTGGACCCCAGTTGTAAGGGAGGTTGGGAAATAATAGTGTTTAACTTCCCTACCTGGGTAGTATCAGAATGCATGTTTAAAGCTGCTGAGTGAATCAACCCATCATAACAGCTCATAATTTTACATTGTTTCTCTTAACATTAGTAGTTTTTAAAACTTTAGTCCTCATTTTATACATTTTAAAATAATTGCATATTCATCCATATTTCAGATTTTAAAAAAAATCATGGATCCCAAAATTAAATATGGCAGTCTAGAATAATTCTGCTTACATGTAGCTTCAAAAAAGGCGCACAGAAATCACTCAGCTGAATAGTGCTACATTTCTTTAGAGATGGAGAATTCCTGTCTCTATTACTTAAATTATAGGAAACATTACAAAATGGTCTGCAATATTCTTTTGTTGAGACTCTTCTCTGTGACCAGATACTGTGATGAGACAGGGATTGACCTAGGGTAAACTTTTAGATGGTGGATTGGGGTTAAATCAGAAAGGAACTATAGACAACAATATTGCACTATTGTTATGTAATGTGATTAAGTATTGATATAATGGCAATCATATTATAATATATACATGTATCAAAGTAACACATCATACTACCTTAAATTTATACAGTGTTATATGTCAAATAAAAAAAGAAAGTGACTGGAGGACAACATAGAGAAGTTTCTTAGAATGCTTTTTTGGCACGAGTAAATAATGGATGGATATTAATGTAGACATACCTACGGTTTCCAGAAAATTATTATAATATATATTATTAAAAAAAGAATTGTTAGCCTAAAATTTTGTATGGACTTAAGGAACTCCATTACTTATGACTATTGGGCATTTATGAGTGAATGTTATTTCTTAAAGATTTGTATTCTTTCCAACACTGTTAGAAGGTATTAGTCCTATGTTTAATTTATACCATTGTTCTTAATAATACTTTAGATACTAAACAGCCTTTGGTTTAGCTAACTTAGCATTATATATTAGTAATCTGGGGTTTTGTTTCACATATGAATTTTCATGAAGTATGTAAAGTTTGTAGTATGCTTAGGTATATATAATTAAAGTTGTATTTTAAAAGATGATGGTCCTCTAGAATATTTAACTTTCACTAAAAGTAACTGCAACCTGCCATTTATAAGTACTGGTAAAAAATCTTTTGAGACATCGTTCTACTTTCTGTTTTTAACCAATATTTGGTTACAACAGCATTATTTTTTATGCTAATTGAACATATTTGTATTACCCAGAAGCTTACATGCTAATCTGTTTTCACATGAGGAAAACGTAAAAGAAATTATAATGTTTTGTGATAACGTGGTTTTTAAGATAGCCTAGCTAATAAGAGAAGGAATGAGAAATGTATTTTCTTTAGGGAGAAATTTTGACAAGCCCAGTTCTGGATAGTGCCTAAAATTTAATCTTTGTTTTATAGTTGTGCCATACAATCACGAAGAAATTGAAAAAGCGCCAGAGTTAGACAGTGATTTCATACAAGATTTTTCTCTCCTGAAGAAGCGGCTGGAGAAGTTCATCTTCACCCTTGACCACTGGTGCCTCAGCTTAATATTTCATTCGTTTTTGTTGGAACTGAGAGACTAAGGTGTATTAAGTAAAATGAAAAGCTTACTTTTTTTTTTCTTGTGGTGATAGCATGGAAGACTTAATGACAATTTGCTTTCAAGGTGTGAGATTTGAAGGAAATTGGATCTTTTCCTAGTTTTTTTTTTTTTGGTATCATTAATCTACAATTACATGTGTAACATTATGTTTACTAGACTCCCCCCATCATCAAGTCCCCCCCATATACCCCATTACAGTCACTGTCCATTGGCGTATTAAGATCTAGCTTTTTTTTTTTTAAACACAGTATCATTAGCAGGATTCCAATCTCTCCCTACCCATGTTCTAATTTATTTTTTAGATGAGTAGTTAGCTATGTATTAGTAATAGTTTCTTTCTTTCTTTTTCACAGCCATTGTTAAAGCATTTTCTTTTTTAATTCTATGGTACACATATTGATAAAAGAGAAACAGGAATATCAGTGCAGGGGCTTTTTTCTGAACAAATAAGACCACAGTTTTTCCTGTAGCATGTTTCTAAGTAACTCTCTAATCAGTCACATAGGATACTGAATGGTGATAGTTTCTCACATTTGTTACTTAGAATTCCTAAGAGGTCAATATCTAATATTTTCACTTCTGGGTAAGAAAAAAAGCATTTTGGTCCATCAATTCACCCACTTGCTCCTGGAGGACATTAACCACCTCTGCTGTTTCGAAGACACGAGTGTTACCAGTGTCTTGAGTGATGAAACTTCCTCCTTAGGGCATTTGTTCGACTCAGCCAGCTACAGCAGAACTGCTGCCTGGAAGGGTTATGTTCTATCAGCATGCCTTTCAAGACATGGACCATCTTTTCCCAGGTGCAGGTGACCTTAAAAAATGCTCCACCCTCAGACTCAGCAGTGCCTTGGTGTTACTCAGTAACAGTTAGAGAATCAAAGACCTGAGCTCGACCAACCAGCCACAGCAAGTGGGGAAGACACCTGCACTGCCAACCTGTTTGTTGAGACAAAAGCAAAACCAAAAACCAATAAAACCTTGGATTTAATTGTAGGCAATTTAGATTTTTTTCAAATATTGTCTAGAGTTATGTAGAAAAAAATTTACATTTCATGTTTATAGGTGTCTACAATTTTCACTATAAAGCATTTAGTTTACATTGTAATTGATGTCAGTTGTGTTCTGGATGATGAATGCCACATACCAGCTTGGCTGTCAGCCAGCCCTGGACAGTGTATTTTTCTTTAGACACTCACCCTTCTGGTTGCCTTCAAAGCTATGCATGCCCGTAAACAAGTTTTGTTTGTAATTTGTTTACAATCTATTGCAAGCAATAGATTTGACTTTTGCTGTGCAAATTTTCTTACTTTGTTTTACCCTTAGTAATAAGTATTTTCCTGAGACTTTTCAGGATTATTATTATTGTAATTAAAGTGTTAAAATGTTTTATAATTCTTATAATTTTGCCACTCCATGGAATTTTGAATGGAGTAATTATTTTCTGCATGATTTTAAAGTTACGACTTATCTGCACGCTTATTTTCAGGCCTTTCAGACTTAAGTGAGTTCTCCCCTTCCCTCACAAAGTATTCATCTTTTCTCTAAGGGAGTCAGTCATATTACTAAGTAAGACATAGAGGTGACTTTATTAAAGTGGGATTAATTTCCAAAAGATTTATATAAAAGATAAATTAGAGGCTAAGTATTTTATTTTTAAGCTAAGTGTTTTAATTTGAGGCCAGTCTATGTCCAGAATGATTGTTTCATTCTTTTGTGATCGCTCTGGTGACTTCCAGATAATTCTGTCTGCACCCCACTATCTAGATCCAGGGCCTACAAAAGGAGGAAGGAGCCCGTTTTCAGTGGGGGTGCTTCTTTCTCTGAAACTGTTAATACAGACTCTGTAAGCACACATGAAAGTTGTAAGCCCTTGCAGCTTTCAAAGTATGTACCAATTTATATAGCCTCTGATTAAAAGATCTTATTTTTGGCAGGAACATGTGTGTGTTTTTACGTAAGCTTGTTCCTAAAACAGGACTGGAGGAAATACCATTAATTATTATGTATCTTTGAAAAAGTCTTCTGAAATTAAACATGAAAAAAAAATTATTTTCCTCATTGCTTTTCCTTTTCATGAAGGAAACCAATGCTGCCTAATCCATATTTTATCAGTATTTATTGTGTTGTAAAAACCGTTTAATAATGGTGGTTTATACCTCCCATTTCAAAGACCTTTTATTTTATTTCGCAGGGTGTCGAGTTAAAAATGTAATCTTTTAAAAATATGTCATCAAAATGTTCAGTTAATTTTAAATTTTGGAAATAAATTTTATTAGTTGGAAGTGTACTTAGACTTAATTCTTCTTAGCTTATTTACATAAGTGGACTATTTTTAAAACTACCAATAAACAATTGGGTTTTAATTTGATAATTAGTAAAACACAGAGACCTTATACAAACTTGTTATATATGAATGTATTTTTGACTATATGTTGTAAAAATTCTTCCAGTGCAGTACTTGTTGGAAAATATTATTCTAGTCATCATTTGTATAAGTTCATTTTTAAGTATATTAAATGTACATTTAAGTATATTAAATGTAAAATCAAAATATGTGTAATTTTTTTGTAATTTTCTGGGAAGAAAGACAAATTTGTCAATATTGAAAGAGTGGCTGTTTGAAAAACACTATTATGGACTCATAGTCTCAGGGTCTTAGGGTTCATCTGCCAATGGAGGAACCGCTTCTCCAGCACTTCCTAGTAGATGATTTATCTGGCTCCTGCTTCCAGTGATAGTATTGAAGTAGAAATCACAGTGAGTTTCCAGACTTGTGTACATAATGGAATCAACTAAGAACTTCAAAAAATACTGATGCCTGGGTCCCATCTCCAGAGATTGTGATTTCATTCTTCTGGAGTGTGGTCTGGTCTTTGAAAATTTTAAAAGATCTTCAGTTTATTCTAATGTGCAGACAAGTTTGGGAACTGCTGGTAAATCATACGGAAAAGCACATTAACCTTCTTCAACATTAGGGAATCCACACTGAAGAGGAAACCTGGCTGAGGTTGTGAAGATTCTATAAGCATTTAGATGTCACTTTAGAGGATTTACAGCTATATACAGGCACACACCAGTGCTTGTGTAATATGTAGGAAATATTTGCACTTAAATCCAAGAACCATTTAATAGGAAGATATCACAGTGGCAGAGAATCCATGATCATCATACAGTGGAAAGTACTGGAGACTGGGTGTTAGAACACTGGTGCTGTCACTAACTATAAATATTTTTTACTTTTAGAGTCTACAAGTTCTAGTCTGAGAGTTTAAACTTTTTTCTAACTTTTCATTTTGAAATTGTTTCAGATATAGGGAAAACTTGCAAAAATAGCACAAAAATTCATATATGCTCTTCACCTAGGTTCCCCAAATGTTAACATCTTACAAAGTCAATATTAACTCAGAAAATCAATATTGATAGACTTCTATTAACTAGTCTACAAATTTTTTCCATTATCCCACTCTATACTTTTTGTAGGCTAAGAGCCAATCTGGGATCACATACTACATTTAGTTGTGTATATATGTGTGTGTTTAACTGTAAACTTTGAAAACCTATTGAAGAAAGTTGCAACAATAATACAACTCATTCTAATATGCCCTTCCTGTAGATTTATTGTAAGCAGCCTGTCACATTTGTGCTGGAGTTATCCATATAATTCTTTTTACTGAAGTTTTTAAGAATTAAGTTACAGACATTGTGATCCTTTAACCTAAATACATGCCTGAGCATCTCCTAAAAACAAGGTCAGTCTTTTGTAATAATCATCATAGTGATCAAATTCAGGAAATTTCACATTGTTACTAAATGTAGCATGCGGTCTGTATTCAAATTTCACTAATTGTCTCAACACTATTCTTTAATTTTTTTCTGTGATCCAGGATTTAACCCAGAATATAGCTTTGCTTTTGGTTGTCATGTGTCTTTGATTTCCCTTCATCTGGAATAGTATTTCGGCCTTTGTGTTTCACGACATTGATATTTCTGAAGAGTTACAGGCTAGTTTTATACAATGGCCCTCAATTTGCATCTAGACCAGTATTTCTCCAAGTATGGTCTGTGACTGATGCTGGTCTACACATAAATGTAACCCAACTGTGAGGGGGTCAACACAGAAATTGAAATTACTTATGCCTTTGGAAACTTATTAGCAATTTAACAGTAATTATATATTGGTTGGATGTTTTTACTTTCTTGATTTCATTTTTCTAATTCACTTTTCCTATATTTTACAAAATAACAGTTCTGAATGGGTTGGACAGTTTCTTTAAAAAAGATCCTTCATCACAGCTACTTTGAGCAGCACTGGTCTAGACTAAGGGCTCTGCTTTATTCACCTCTGAATCCATTACCCCTGGACGGAACCTGGCAGAGTTCAGTAAGTGATTGCTGTAGGATGACTTGAAATAGCCCATTATTTTTGTTAGAAAAGCTTTTCTTATGCTGAGTCAAGATCTCTCTTACCACAAAATTCACATAGGACCCTTACTTCAGCCTTCAAAAATATCACGTCTACTCATATACTTAGGTGTTAAGTTCTCAGAGATGTAAAGATTGTTACGTCTTCAACCCCCAGTCTACTCCAAGAAAAACTGGCTCTGTCCCTTTCATCATTTGTAATGATTAGGATTAATTTCTGCTGAAAATGAGAACACCTCAAATAAGAGCCGCTTACTAACTTTGTTTCTTCTGTTCTACAAATTCAGAGGTGTCATTCTAGGGCTGGGAGGGAAGTTTTCCAAGTCATCAGTGTAAGATAAATTCTAGCCAAAATAAGCAGGTGAAGAGATGCAACAAAGGGCCAGGTAGTTTATTTGAACGCAAAACCCAGGCGAGATTTCCCAGTCCCCAGAAATGGAGGGTGGGGAAGCCGCGCATCAGTAGACAGGCAGCGAGTTTTTAAACAAGGTAGGAGGAGGCAGAGCTTAGATTTACAGCGGTGCGAGGATTGGCTAGCCCAAGGCACATTTTTCAGGTTGGGAGGGGGCAGCAGCCGGGGACTTCGGCATGTCACCGGTGTCTGACGTGCTCACCCCTCCCTATGGTGCTTCCAACCTTACAATCAGGGACCCTGCACCACTCTATTTTGCGGTCCCTTGTCCTTAATGTGTTGCTTTATTATGGTCCAAGATGTCTGCTCAAGCTCTAACCACTACATCTGCATTCCCATCAGCAGAAGGAAGGGGTAAAGAGGACATTCATCCCTTTGAAGACATTTCCCGTAAGTCACACGTAACATTTCCATTTATATTACTTTGGTCAGAACTTGGTCAGTGGCCACAATTAGCTCCAAGCTAGGCTTGGAAATGTTATTTTTTATTTTGGAAATCCCTGCGCTCAGGAAAGAAAGTGGTGGTTTTATTAAGGAAGAAGGGGAAGATAGATATTGGTTGACGAGGTAGCTTCTGCCATATTGTCCTGTATGTATCTTCTCCTACGTTATTTCTCTTCACCATTCTGATGACTTGTTGCGTGTTTTCTTATATTTTAACATGGTTCCGAATTGTATGTGATGTTCCAAAAGCAAGGTGGACATATGTGTCTTACATAAATGGCCTTAATGTTAAGCAGCATCTGAGTACCATGTCTCTCTCAATGCTAGGCAGCGATGAAGGGCACTCAAAGTCAAGAGTTTCCGCGTGGGTGGTACGACAAGTGACCTCCCCGCGCGTGCGCCGCGCTCGGACATTGCTTCCACTAACCGTGGTCGCCAACCCCAGTGCATTTTCCTTCGCGGCCCGGGCGAATCGGGTCTAGCCTCGGTTAACGAAGTCTCCCTGACGGCTG